ATCAGCCTCCTGAGTAGCTGGGATTACAGGCACGCGCCACCATGCCCAGCTAATATTTGTATTTTTAGTAGAGACGGGGTTTCACTGTGTTGACCAGGATGGTCTCGATCTCTTGACCTCGTGATCCACCCGCCTCGGCCTCCCACAGTGCTAGGATTACAGGCGTGAGCCACCGCGCCCGGCCAGAGGCTAATTTTAATGCATTTAAATGTTAAGCCACCATCCCAAAGTGGACATGGGCTGTATGTAACAAGTATGTTTGCTTACTGTATATGCAAATACATCCTCCCATCATGAATATTCATAGCTTCTCCTATAGCCTGTTAAATATGTATACTGAGCCAATTCTTTTGGATTAAGTTTCTATTCCACTATTTTCTCCCTTCGAGTGCCTGCTTTCAGTTTCTACCAGAGGCTACATTCCCCAACCTGCAGGGGACTCTCAATAAGAAAAGCCCTCTTCTCTAAGTTCATGAACCTTGTGATTCTTCAGCTGACATTTTGATAGTGTGATTGCTCTCTGGATGCGGGCAGGGAGATGGTGCTGTCAAGTAGAGCAACTTTATAGAGGGTGTCAGGCCACAGTGTAGGTGCCCATTCAGAGCCTGAGGACTCATCCACCAGCTACCCGGTGTTGGCTGCCAAGGGCTTACCATTGAGTCATTCCTCAGGAATGGCCCTCAGCCCAAGGGAGCCCCACCTCCTCACCCAGGACAGCCCACATTCAGCAACCAATAGGGGCCACTCCAGCTTCCAGAGTTCCTTGAAGGATCAGCTGAGTCCCCATTGTAGCTCTATCCATGCCATCACATGCAGTTCAACTTGTCCCACTGCCCAATTCTGCTTCTCTCACCTCCTTACCAAGGCTGCTCTTGAGAGGCTTCCCAGTAAACCACCTGCATATAAACATCCCTCCCGGGGAGGCTGACTCACGGCACCACCAAGGAACCTTGCTCCTCAGATGATGAGTCTCTGAGCACAGTCCCAACAGGGCAACTCCTGTTGCCCACGGGTCCAGCTTTACAGCTGCACCCACCTCCCCAGCCCAGGTCCGCCTGATGCACAGTGGAGAGGGAATTATCCATTGAGATCTTGCTCCACATAAAGCATTCTTGCGCCAAACACCCACACACAGAGAGGCACAAAGACCATCTTTACCTGCGGCAAGTGAAGGCAGAGTGCGGTCCTGGCCACCCTTTCCCACACCTACCCCTTCTTTCCAGTGTGAGGTCCTGGTGAGTGAGATCATGAAGGGCAACCCTGACAGAGAGAGCTGCTACAGGGCTGCCTTGTAAGTGGTAATAGGGCTCTGTGGAAGGAGTGGGGTAGTCCTCCCAGCCTTGCCAGGGTTGGCAGCCATTAGCACACACAGAAGAGAAGGCCACGTGACCACAGAGATTGAAGCCATGAACCCAAAGACAAGGAATGCTGCTGCCACCCCAAACTGGGGGAAGCAAGGAACAGATTCCCCCCTGGAACCTCTGAAAGGAGCAGAGCCAGCCAACACCTTGATCTCAGCTCAGGGAAGCTAAATTTGGACCTCTAGCCCCCAGAACTGTGAGAAAATTAATGCCTATTGTTTTAAGCCATTGAGTTTGAGATCATTTGTTTTGGGGGGTTTTGTTTGTTTCCTTTTCTTTTGAGACAGAGTTTCGTTCTGTCGCCCAGGCTGGAGTGCAGTGGTGGAATTTCAGCTCACTGCAATCTCCACCTCCCAGGTTGAAGTGATTCTCCTGCCTCAGCCTCCTGAGTAGCTGGGATTACAGGTGCGCGCCACCATGCCCAGCTAATTTTTGTATTTTTAGTAGAGACAGGATTTCACCATGTTGGCAGGCTGGTCTCGAACTCCTAACCTCAGGTGATCCACCCACCTCAGCCTCCCAAAGTGCTGTGATGACAAGCATGAGCCACTACACCTGACCAAGTTTGAGATAATTTGTTACAGCAGCCTCAGGAAGCCATCCTGACATCTAAGTCACTGCAGGAACAGCCTCACGCTCAGACTCCCTTCAGTGTCTGCATCTGTAAAGTAGTTTTCCTTCCAGCTGATCTCATATGAAAGGAAGCTTTCCCTCCTATTTCTAGTTTACAACAGCCATTTAGGAAAAAAGTGGCTTTAGGCTGGGCCCGGTGACTCACGCCTGTAATCTTAGCACTTTGGGAAGCCAAAGCGAGCAGATCACAAGGTCAAGAGATCGAGACCATCCTGACCAACATGGTGAAACCCTGTCTTTACTAAAAATACAAAAATTAGCTGGGCATGGTGGTGCATGCCTATAGTCCCAGCTACTCAAGAAGCTGAGGCAGGAGAATTGCTTGAACTCGGGAGGCAGAAGTTGCAGTGAGCCAAAATTGCGCCACTGCGTTCCAGCCTGGTGACAGGGTGAGACTCTGTCTCAAAAAAGAAAAAAGAAGAAAAAGAAAAAAGTAGCTTTTTTCTACTGGTAAAATTTCAGACACATGGCAGGTGATGATGGACACATGTGGGGACAAGAGAGGGCACTGGAGTCTAAAACAGAAAAGCATAGTGACTTATTACTACGGTTCAACTGTATATGTCCCTCCAAAATGTGTGTGTTAGAACCTAAATCGTAAGGTGATAGTCTTAAAAGGTTGAGCCTTCTGGGAGGTGATTAAGTTCTGAGGACTCTGCCCTGGCGAGTGGATTAGTGCTCTGATAAAAGAGGTTGATAAGAGTACTTCAGTGTACTTTTCTTTTTCTTTTCTTTTTTTAATTGAGATGGAGTCTCACTCTGTCACCCAGGCTAGAGTGCAGTGGCATGATCTCAGCCCACTGCAACCTCCACCACCTGGGTTCAAGTGATTCTTCTGCCTCAGCCTCCTGAGTAGCTGGGATTACAGGCACATGCCACCACGCCCAGCTAATTTTTTTGCATTTTTATTAGAGATAGGGTTTCGCCATGTTGGCCACGCTAGTCTTGAACCCCTGACCTCCACACACCTCAGCCTCCCAAAGTGCTGGGATTCCAGGTGTAAGCCACTGCGCCTGGCTTCAGTGTGCTTTTTTGCTCTTCCACCTTGTGAGGACACAGCAAGAAGGTCCTTGCCAGGCACCAAATGCTGGTACCTTGATCTTGGGCTGCCCAGCCTCCAGAGCTATAACAAGTAATTTCTGTTCCTTAAAATTACCCAGTCTCAGGCATTTGTTATGGCAGCACAAGTGGACTGAGACACTGCACCAAGTCATTAGCCCAGACGCATTTTTAGAGCTCCAGACCCAGAGACAGGCTAGAACTAGAGTTGACCAAACTCTAGTCACAGTTAGTTTTGGAGGCAAGGGGCCTGTAGGACCTGCAGAGTAAGTCCATTCCTCCCCCAGAGGGAAGGATATAAGACTGAGTCCTTCTGTCTTTTAGATCCAGAAATCACACACCATCCAGGTGCACCCAGGCCAGGCCACACCCACCTTCTGCATTTCCCCAGAGGAGATGTTGCACGAGCCGCTGGGAGGAGATGCCCGTTCGCACCACTGTTCTCCGCTGCTCAGAGCCCATGAGTTGGCAAAGTCATAGGGGTCTGAGGTCAAGGTGCCTGTGAAGGAAAGTTTCAGGAAAATAACACTTCAGTTATGCCTGCCCCAGAACTCCTGAGTGAAAACTCTAGGTCTGATGGTGATTTGCGTTTTTTGTTTTAATTTTTTATAAAGAGACAGGGTCTGGCTGTGTTTCCCAGACTGGAATGCAGTGGCTACTCACAAATGCAATCCCACTGCTGGGCAGCACAGGAGTTTTAACCTGACCTTTCTCCAGCCTGGCTAGTTCACCCCTCCTTAGGCAACCCAATTGTCCCCCGCTCCCCAGGAGGCCCCCATATTGATGCCAAGCTTAGCGTGGGCACCTGATCAGCATAGGGCTCTGCAGCCCAGAACTCCTGGGCTCAAGGGATCCCCCATCAGCCTCCCACGTAACTGGGACTGCAGGTATGGGCCACCATACTAGGCTGTAGGTCTGTTTTTACCTGAATCTAACTTGTATTAAATTCAACAACAAGCGTGCATACAGTACTCAGCCTAACATTATAGGGCATGGGTGTCAGAGGTCAGCAGACAGTTGGAGACTGAAGAAGGAAGGAAGGAAGGAAGGATGGATGGATGAATGGATGGATGGATGGATGGATGGATGGATACAATTACAATGAGGTAGATGAGGTGAAAGATGATAAGGAGAGGCCCTTTCCCTCTCGCGTCTCCATGCCTCCATGTGCCTTTCTCCCTCCACGTGGAATGTCCTCCCCGTATTGCCTTATCTATCTCCATTCCTTCTTCGAGATACAGCTCAAGAACCACTGCCTCCAGGGAGCCTTTCTGAACAGCCCTACTTCCATTCCTCACCCCAGCCTGCTTGGGTGTCCCTTCTCTGTGCCCCATGCTACCCTGGGCGGCCCTCCACCAAAACACTCATCACTCTTTGGTTTATATTCTTTTTGCTCATATTCGTGCCCCACTCAACTGTGAGCTCCTTACTTAAGGGCATGGGCTGTGTCTCTTGTCTCTAAATTCTTATCTGCTGGATTGCGAATGCTCAAAATATTTTTGCAGAATGAAGGTAAGAACATGACACAGAACCTAAGCCCAGCCCCCAGGTCACTGCATGCTCCAGGGTCTCGCAGCATCTGTGCTTTAATATCACAGTGCTCATGCTACTGTCAGCTACTCACAATAGACTGTGAGGGCCTCATGGACCTACACGGCCTGGTGCAAAGTAATTATCTAACAGTACTGCTGAATCTGTATTAAAAACTAGTATGAGACAACTACCTATGCAGTATTGGGATGAGCAGTTTTTTGCATAGCCAGGCCTGGAAGAGTGAAGTATGTCTCAAGGTCAAGTAATACATTTGCGAATAGTAAATAAACTGTCCCAGGGGAAGAAAACTATAAATGAGACCTCAGAATATAGTCAGTTGTTATCTGGGATTTGACAGGTAGAAACCACCCCCCACGACCACCAAAGATATATTCACTTCCTAATCCCTGGAACATGTAAATATCATCTCATATGGCAAAAGATGTGCTTAAATTAGAGATCTTGAGAGCAAGAGTTTCTCTTGGATTACTTGGTTAGGCCTAATTGCAATAATCTTTATCCTTGTAAGAGATGAATAGAGGGAGACCAGACAAAGACACATGCAGAGGACAAGGCAACGTGAAGACAGAGGCAGAGGCTGGAGTGATGTAGCCGTGAGTCAGGTATGACGGCAGATGATGGAAGAGGCTAGGAACAGATGCTTCCCGAGAGCTCTGG